ATAAAGTTTATTGTTTGTTTTATTAGTTCATTGTTCTCCATGCATTTTTAAAAAACAAAATCCAAATTAACAATTTAGTGAAATTTTCTGAGAACCCCCACCCAAGATACCTCTCGCAGACTCCTGGGGGTCCTGGGACCCCAGTTTGAGAACCTCTGCATTAGAGAATATAGCTAATGTATGCACACCTGAATGCATCTGGCTTTGTTGTTCCACAGCCCCCTGCTTCAGATGGAGGCCCATGCATCATTAATTACAGCCTAAGTGCATACCAACCCATGGGTCTTATAACATGCTGGGACCACTTTCCTCACTGGGAGGGAATAGAAAAATATAATCAGCTTCAGTGTCGGACTCCTCGTCAGCAGTTTTAAGAACTTTGTTTGTTTTGTTTGTTTGTCTTGAGCACAGATTTTTACATTTTAAACTTTGTTTGTAGTAACACAAGTGAACAACTTTGCGAGGCCAGGCCAAAGCTATCTCTATTTCTGATCCCTTGTTTTTAACAAATGGCCTCTAAATGAAGACAAATGGCAGAGGTGGTGTCAAGTTTGGAACCGTTTTAAAAGGAGGGTTAGACCAGGAAACCAAATGGTWATGGCCCCAGTTCCTCTTTCAGGGAAGTCGTAATGGTCTCTTTGGAGCAGTCTGTCAGTATTAACAGTCCATTCAGTGGAGCTGCATTCTTAATGGCATTCCAATAGATTGGGAGTTGGATTTTTGGAGCACTGCAATCAGGGCCTTTTCAGCCCTGAATTACTTTATCTTGTGAAAGGAGAGCAGTGAACCTGATGGCATCTAGTTGGCCATTTTTATGTTTGCGAAAATGTGCTTTCCAATTTCTTTTTGTCACTTGCTTCTTTTATATAGTAAGGGCATAAATCAGAGCAGTGCTGTTGTCATTTAGTAAACTGACCAGAATATCTGGATRGACTCTGCACAAAACAAATGCGGTTCCTTGAAGTTACCAGCAGTTATTGTCAGAAATGTTGCTTCATTTCCATGACAAAGCTTAAGGTGCATATGGAAAAGGAAGTACATTTAATTCAAAACATTTAACTATTTTTTAACTTTTTATTTTTAATTTTTACATAATTTAGCACCCCCCACATTCATGAATATGGAATGATATGCCTAAAACTGTGAAGAAAATGGGAGAAAAGGAAAGAAAGAAAG